CTCTCGAGCATCTGATCGTCCCCTTTGTGCAGTTCGTCATTCCAAGGGTAAAAGGAGGGACCCTAATAAGGACCCCTATAGGTATATACCCTTAATATAGCTATTTTATACCCATTTTATAGCCCATTATAGGGTAAGGGTCCCCATTCAGGGTCCCTCCTTTTGGCTTTGATCTTGTGTTGCAATCAAGGCCTGTGGCTAATCGCTAATATAGAAGCTCTGTCGACGCGCTAGATCTGGTTTTGCAAGCATTCCAGTACACCCTAAACGTCCCTGCGCCGAAATCAAAGCTCTAAGGACCTGTGCTCCAAGCCATTCTATGCCGTTATTCAGTTCTCCGCTATGCAAGCTTTGCACTTTTTTGGCACTTGGAATTTAGTGCTTTTCCGGCAGTGGAACCCATTGACCTTGTTGGGTCCTTGGGGAAGGTAATGAGCACCCCCAAAATATTAAACCCTAAACCCTAAAGAAGAAAACCTCCCAAACCTTATACTCTAAACCCTAAAGCCTAAAGCCCACCCTCAAACCTTAAACCGAAACTCCTAAACCTTTAGGCCGAAGCCCTAAACCCCAAATTCGACGCCTGCTGTAGGATCCGTCTTGTCATCCTAATTGAGGAAAAGTATCTCTCTACATGATTGCACTGCTGCCTTAGAAAGCCCTGTAGAAGCCATGAGGCATCGTTTAAATTTTAGCCATCTGTGTGAATTGCTTGCCAGCTCTAAGCAAATGCACATATGTGTGTGCATATACATATACATATATATATATATATATACATCTGTATGCATAGATATAAATATAAATATATATATATATATATACATATATATATATATATGCATATATATGTAAATACATCTATATGCGCATATGTGTGTATATATATATATATATATATATATATATATATATATATATATATAAACAGATGTTTCTATCATCATCCCCTTCAAACAGCATAAAAAGCCGACATCTCCTTGCGACCACAGGCCATGGCCGGCTGTGCACTTTTGCGCATGGAAAGGAGGCTCGGGAAGCGAAACAGGGGTTCAGTTGCAGGTAACCACCGAGAATCTTGCTTCCCAGACATTCAATGTGAGGTGTCCTTACCATGAGTTGAGGTCGAATTTGGGAGTCACTGGGTGTGTATGCCATCGAAGTCCAAACAGCATCTTGAATGGTCTAACGGTGTTGAGAATGCTATTTGGGCTCTCAACTCGTCTATAAGCCCTAAAGCCTCAACTCTATAAGCCCTACCTTAACCCCAGATAACCTACTTTTTTAGGGATAAAGAAATCATATTAGGGGACCCTAAAAAGGTAACCCTTAGGGTCCAGGTACACCCTAGATGGCGTTTAAACTGCCTGTCTCGTGGCCCCTCCCCATTCCGCCCTGTTCGGGTTCTCGAAGGTTTCTGCAATGGCTCTACAAGGGTTCTATGATGGTTCTATGAGGATTCTAGTTCTGCAAGTTTGGGGTGCTCGTATTGTTTGTCGCGGGTTGGCTTTCGTTTCTGTTGGGGTCCACCTATGAAGTCTTGATTGCAGTGCCTGTTTTTTGGTTTACCTTCTGTTGTTACCACGGGATCCGAACCGTAAACATTGACACACAACCAGAGCAACTACATGGGAGTTTCCGAAAATTCGGGGTACCTTTTTTGGCTGGCCTTATAATAGGAATCCTACTATTTAGAGTACCATATGAGGGTACCCTATTTTCGGAAAGCCCTACATCGGAGCCTATAGGTAGATCCTTGGACCCTTGTAATCTGAACGGCCCGAATCCCAAGCCTTCATCCCTAAAACCGAGATCCTAAAGTGTTCCTAAAGCCGTAAACCCTAAACCCCCGGAAAAAAGCCTTAAACCCGGCCTAGCCTGTGGGCCCGTTGATGTTCCCTGGAAAGGAGCTAAGAAGCGCACCAGATTTTACAAGGACCTTGTAGCGGGAGAGTTTGCAGCTAAGGGTTGGGTTGGGGACTTAGGATTCAGGGTTTTTGGGTTCAGGGTTGAGGACTTAGGATTCAGGGTTTTTGGGTTTTTGGGTTTAGGGTTGGGGACTTAGGGTTCAGGGTTTTTGGGTTTTGGGTTTAGGGTTGGGGACGTAGGATTCAGGGTTTTGGGTTTCAGGCAGCTTAGGCTTGGGATCTGGTTTAGGTAGAGGATGTAGGACCGATTGTATCAGGCTTTATAGGGGCTCTAACAAGGACCTGATAATTTGGTACTTGGATTTAGGAAAGTAGTTTGTAGGTTAGTAACTGGGAGAGTGTATGGTTAGGTACTTGGATCCTAAACCCTAAACCCTAAACCCTAGATTTTTAAACTTAGGATTCAGGGCTTAGGGTTTTAGGGGCCAAGGCAATCGGGTTCAGGGTGTAGCAACTCGGGTTTGAGGGGTTCGGGATTCAAGCTTCGGCTTGCCGTTTAAAGCTTACCCTAAGGGTCCAAAATAGTAACCTCCATAACTACTATGCCAAACCCAAGTACCTTGTTACTGTATTGGGTCCTTTGGACCCTTAGGGTTAGGTCTTTGGAATCCTGAGCACAACATGTCCTTTCCAGCTTACTCGTCTTGTGGCGCCAAGGGCTCTGCTATGCAAGCAGTGGGGTCTGTCCCAACCACTCGGTACAATATTGCGGCCAGAATACTTGGGACAGGATTTTGTGGTGCCTTTTCTCGGAGAGACGTGCGCGTTCGGCGATCTTCTGGGCAGTGTAGGTCTATTTTCTCGTCTTCTTCACAAGTAGGTTGAAGCGGTATATACATTGCTGCCTGTAGTCTCTAGTGTACTGCATGCCCATCTCGTAGTATTCTGTTCATATTCATGAAATACGATTCCAGTTGGTTCTCATACGCGGGACGCCTAGGGCTGCTAGGCAGTGCCACGGCCCACGTGGTGGAGTTGAAGGATGACAGCACTTTTCGCCGAAGCGTTCTTGAAGGGTCCCACATTATACCAAGAGACTCCAATACCCTTCAATTAAGGAATATTCCTTAAATCATATTAGGGATCCTACGATAATTTAAGGAATATTCCTTAATTAAGGGATATTGGAGTCTCTGGGTACCTATCAAGGAGCCCTAAACACCAGTCTTACTAGTTCCTCAGCCCCTATTAAACCCACACCGCCCTCAGCACGCGGTCCCACATTTGCGGCAGGACATCCATTTGCCCGGAGTTGCTGCGAACTGGCAAGTGCACTGAGGCCAGAAAAAAGCCGTAACACCCTTGAGTACAGGAGACCTTCCGAAACTTAAGACCCCAGTGCCCATACAGCCCCCTGCCGGATGTAGAAAGCCGAAAAGCCGAAATCCCTTGTAAGACTCGCTATATAGACGTATACATATAAATACATATATATATATATATAAATAAATATAGTTACATAAATATATGTATATATATATATTTATAGTATATATATATATATATATTATTTATGTATAACACCCCAAATCAGTGGTGCAGCTCCTGACGTCCACAAGACCCCTGGCCAGATCATGCAGAAGACCTAAATCCAACTCTCCTGTCAAAGTCCTCAACAGCCCTCTGTCAGATAGATGCATATATCCTTAGTTCACCTTTAGCCCTACCCCCCCCCCCCCTCCTCCAACCCCCCGCACCTTTGATGACCATTGGACGGTTTGTTCCCCTAGTTTGGGCGCCTTTTGGGATCCGGACACAAGAGTGTCGTAGTTCCTACAAAGAACCAAGTCTCTGGGAAGCCGCATAGCGTGCGTGCTGGATGTTGACATATGGGGGTTTCCGAGAATTAGGGGCACGTACCTCATTCTGGGATCCTTATAATATGGATCCTGCTATTTTGGGTACTATATAAGGTTCCCTTTTTCGGAGACTCCATATGCAACCTAGAGCTGGACGCATGGTCTAGCGTGATCATGTCAAGCTTGGTATCAGCTCATGGCCTGTATGGCGCCATCAGATTTTGAATTTGAGCGGAAAAGTCGGACATGAGGAATCATTGAAGTTTCAGCTCTTTCCCAAAAGGGTACTCCCGTGTCATTTCGCTTGGGCACCCTAATTTAGATTTATCCCCCTTTGTGGAACCCCTACTTCGAGGCTCTTTTGACTTTGTAAGTCTGCTCAGCATCCGCTCTAGCCACTGCAATAATCAGTACCCTAAGACTCCAAATAGCCCAAAGTAGGTAGCATTTATAGACTTTAGACCCCAAAGTAGGTACTATTTGTATACTTGGAGTCTTAGGGATAATCTTGATATGTCAACTTACCGTTGACACACAAACAGCGCAAGCCCCTTCACCCCAACGCCTTGAACTCTATATAGTCCCCGAGCCCCACCATCCCATTTTGCAAAAGCATGCAAGCCCAGAAGCACCTTTCAACTCTAACTTAATCCGAGAGCGACCTTGCCGTTGATGTGGTAAACAACAGTTTGAGGAACTTGATAAATTAGCTTAGAAGCCGTAAACGCTAAACCCTAAACCCTATAATGAAGCCATATGATCTCCATAAGCCGCTGAACCCGTATGGCATGAACCTCAAACTCCTAGCCCCTAAGCGCCCAGACTCCACAAAAAACCGACCAATCGCCAAGCTGGCTTTAAACATCCTTAATGCCCTGGTTGTACTACTTTTGAAATCCTAAGAGGATTAGATGCTTGATCCCCTTGCCCCAAGTCCCAAAGCTTTGGAATGTGAAAAGAAGCCATGACCCCTTTTTCAACCCAAACCCTGGCCCTCTGCTTCCCTCATCTGCTAAGCCCAAAACCCTTAACCCTACCTCTATGCCGTTGCCTCATCATGTGAAGGATTCCATAATCGAAACTCTGATTTTGCCTAATCAAGGATCCTAGAAAACCTTGTCTCAACACCCTATAAAGCCTTCAACAGGCCTTCATAAATCCATCGTAAGCCTTTGAACACATGTTGGGTTTCTGAGAGCCTACACCCGAAACCCTAAACCCCTAAAGACCTAAACCTCTAAAGCCTAAGCCCGAAACCTTAAGCCCCCGTCAGATGGACATCTGCCCCTATGCGCACAATCGCACCGAGCTTCGACATGCCCCGGGGCTGATGAAGACGAGGTCGGGCTCGCTGTGCAAGGTTCTCCTCAGCGCCCCAAGGGCCCAATGATTAGGGGCTCATTAAAGACTAAACCGATTTAGAAGAGTTGATATGGGGTTTTCTGGGTCTTCAAGGGTCCCGCATCCCTCCTCTTGCAGCATTATTAATACACAATATATATATATATATATATATATATGTATGTATGTATGTATATATATATATATGTATATACATACACCGATTATTATTATTATTATTACTATTATTATTATTATTATTATTATTATTATTATTATTATTATTATTATTATTATGTATATATGTATGTATGTATATACATGTGTATATATATATATATATATATATATATATATATATATATATATATATATATATATATATATATATATATATATATGTACACATGTGTATTGTATGTATATTGCAAGAAGATGTAGATCAGAAAAGATACACACATATGTATACACACTCGCACGCTCAGCACTTTTTACGGTTTATGACTGCCGCTGGTTGTCGACGTATTGAGCTTTCAAACTCTACACCTACACGGAAAGGACGTTTGGTTGAGGTTGGGTTAGGTTCACGTTGAAGTCCTTTGGTTCCGACTGCCTGGACCTAACATTCATAAACCCAGAAGGTCAGGCCCAAAAGCTCTCGAACCCTGAATCCTAGACCTACATAGGCCCTGAAGTAAACCTTCTGCCCCTGTGCGATTCAGGATGTGCGACTTCCACAAGACCGGAACGTGCATGGCCAAAGATTTATGCCGGTTTGCACATCAGGCCGGTCTGTTACTCCTATACTGTTGATGATATAAACCCTGCATTACCTTGAGGACCCTAAACTATGGGAATTATGGTACGTTTATTCCTTATTATGGGCAATGCAGGATTTATATCACTATATAACAGTGGTGAAGTGGGGGTGGGGCTGCTGCTTTGAAACAAAGGGTCCTGTTTCAGGGGTCCTCCAAACAAGGTTTCTGCTGTCATGGCCCGCGGTCCTCGCCACTTTCCGCAGAACCCCTCGGCCCTTGGCCCTTCAGTCCTAAACCCTCAACCCCTAAACCCTAAACCCTCATCGAACCCCTCAGTCCTATACCATAAACCCCTAAACCCTCAAAGAGCCCTTCTAAGGTCCTAAAGCCTAAACCCTCATTCCCTATCCTGAACCCTAAATAAAGGCCCTCAAGCAAAGCATGTAGAGGAGTTGCATGTTGAGCCCATTACACCCTCAACCCTAGAACTCTGAACCCTAAACCGCTCAACCCTAAACCCTAAACCGTTGTAGACCCTTCAACCCTTAACCTCTAAACCCCTAAATCCTCTACAACCCTAAACCTCTAAACCCCTATATCCTCTAAAATCCTAAACCTCTAAACCCCTAAATCCTCTGAAACCCTAAACCCCAAACCTTAAATCCTCGAAAATCAGCCTCGGGGAGGTGGAAGAGTTGAGTCCCGCGGCGCGAGCCTTCTTGGAGTCTAGCGGCCTCAGGTCCCTCAGAGGGGTTCCTAAAGTTTTTTTTTTTTTTTTTCGGATGTTGCTAGTGTCTAATGACGCCCTAAAGGGTTTAGGCCTTGGGGTTTATTCGGGTTTAGGGTTTAGGTTGAGGGTTTAGGGGTTTGGGGTTTAGATTTAGGGTGTAGGTTTAGGGTTGAGGGTGTAGGTTTAGGGTTGAGGGTTAAAGGAAGGGAGGCCGGAAGAGCTAACATAGGGTTGAAGGGTTTAGGGTTTCCGGGGGATGGGGTCGAAAAAGGGGAGGCATTAAAGAGGTAGAAGAGGGTATCAGAGTTAGAGTTTCTGGAGAAAGGTTCTGCAATCATAAGGGCTACTATTCCTGCAATAGGGGCGTTAGTACTTCCGACAGGGTTCTGTTAAAGGGAAAGGGTCTTTACATGTTCTGTAATGCGGGTTTTTTGAAGCCCATCAATAATACTGTTGACGATATAAATCCTGCACTACCTTAAGGAGCCTAGACTAAGGGATTTATGGTGTATTCCTTTTTATGGGTAATGCAGGGTTTTTATCATCAACAGTATGACGTAGTATTGTTTCAGACACTGGAGTTTATCGTTCTTCTTGAGGGTTCCTGTTATAGGGTTTGTCTCAGTGTACAGCCGGTCCCCTTGTAGTCTTCATTTTGAATCATCTCATAACACACGCACACACACACACACACACCTTTTCTGATCATTATCTTAGCAGCTGAGTGGTTACACTTTACACTTTTGGGGATAATATTACCCACTATAAAACTGAAAGTGTGCACTTTTGGGGGCTTGTGAACTCAGCAACTAAGCTATAGGGTTTCAGGATTGGGGTTTAGGAGTGCTTGCTATTCAGCGATACAGGACGAGGTCGCCGAGGCTTAAACAAAAAAAAGGCCTCAATCGCTACCCATACTGTTTTGGGGGTTCCTTATTATGATTATTGTATATGACACCCCAAAACCTTATTCTAATGATCAAGGCTCTTCTATTAAACCCCAGATGCGAAGCCATTACAGGGTCGTACTGGTAGGTTGTGGGCTTTGGGAGTTTGGTAGTGGAAGGTCCCGGGTTTTCGGCATCTTGGTATAGATCCTACAGTGTCATGTAGAGCTTCGGCTTCGATGAGCTCTTCAGGGTTTCGGGCCCATGTGCCCCAATAGTATATTCAATATTCCTTGGCCTTAAAGTAGTTCCTCTGTAGAGCTTGTAGGGTTCGGAGGTCGGGATCTGGTTGTGCCTGTAGAACTTTGCGGAGGTTTGTGCTTCAGAGGGGCTTGCAGGTTGGCTTCAGAAGGACCCAGACCTTCCAAAATCCTTTAATTAAGGAATATACCTTAATTCATATTTGCGATCCCATTATAATTTAAGGTATATTCCTTAATTAAGGGAATTTGGAAGCTCTGGGGAGCTTCAGCCCTTTTTCTGTGGGTCCGAGTCCCTGAGAGTCATGTACACCCCACTACTAGCCGTACTAGCCCAAGTATTGGCAAATGCTGCTATCCCAATCTCGTAGTCCATATGCACTAAACCCTAAGCCTTGCAATTGTCGGGCGCTCGGTATCCTTAGAGTTATAAGCTCTGAGGACTAGGGCATCGACAGTTGTTGCTCGCGTGCATCTACGGCTTGCAGATGTAGCCCCGAAATATCCAAACCCTACGCCTTAATAGCTTGGACCCTGAACTCATAAGCATATACCGTAAACCCGCGGCACCTGCACCCGATGCCCAAAGCCAAAACCCGGCGTGTTTTGAGTTGTCGGCCTCAGCGAGTCAGTAGTGCAGGCCTTTAGGATATCTTATAATTCTTACTGGGGTTACGAGGTTCTTATTTACGAATATTTTCTTAGAGACTGGAAAGGGCCAATCTAAGTAGGTTTGATTGTCCACATATGATTTGGCTTGAAACACCTCCCTCTACTGAACATACCTTAATTCATATTTGGGATCCTATTATAATTTAAGGTATATTCCTTAATTAAGGGATTTTGGAAGGTCTGGGAAACAGACACTTCAGGGTGCAAGGCTTGGATCAGAGACGGCGAGAGGAGGATTCTTTGCTTGGTAGCTTCGCACTTGCAACCTCGATCCCCAATTATGATCGGAATCAAAATCCCACCTTTAATTAAAGGGAACTCCAGAAAGTTGGAATATGGTTTAATGGTAGGATCCCCTATAATGTGCCTTAAAGGGGTTACGATAATGATATTCCAACTTTCTGGCTTTTTCTTTAATGCTTAATCTAGGACATAGAGTAGGCCCTTATTCCCTTTTTTTAGGGTTCAGGTTCCCTTATAGGCCTCTTTAAACCAAAAAGGGCACCCTTTTTATTCCTAGGTTACTCTTAGGTCTAGTAATTAATGCGTCAAAGCAACCTGGAGAGAGGTTGAGTAGCACCTTGCTCCTGATGCGGTTTACGAATGTGCACCGACATGCCCAAAGTTGGTTCTTGATGGAGACCCCAGAGTAAGCACTTCCCCATTCAGCTGGGACCCTACTTTGAGGTTCATGGGTAGTTTTATAATTAGGGTTATTAGCAAGGTAACTATTCTTATAACCCCTATTAGGGGACTTAAAACCCCACTTATAACTACCCATGATTCTCCAAGTATGTTAATGCACGGGGGTTGAGTGCTTTGCCTGTCGCAGTCCCGAAGAAGCCGAGTCAGTCCCGGTTGCGGGTATAGCTGAGGCTGGATGCCATGCCCTGTTTCGACTCATTGCAGCTCTTGTGTTTGTTTTGTGATACAGGGGTGACTGGGGGTCGGAGCTTAGAATGTACACAGTGGCTGGTGGTTGAAGTCTCGAAAGCCATGCTCTGGACACTGATCTGGTACTTTGTGTGTGTGTGCGCATGTGCATGCTGTACCAACTACAAGAAGCTGTCGCGGATTTTGTCGGGGCCCACATAATTACCTATCACATTTTTGGGGCTCCTTACTTTAATTATAGTATAATGTAGTATAATGGGCCCCAATACCCTATTCCAATTATTAAGGCCCCCTAGCATCGCATCGAAAAGCGTACGGAGCACTTCATGAAGCTCCCTGCGACCTCTTTGGCCTCCAGACAAAGCAGCGCGCCGCAAGCATCTTGAGCAGGAGGAGAGCTAATCGACCCCTAGGACTAACATGAACCCTACCTGACCTGTAGCACAAAGCCCCAGAGAATACTAGTTCATCGCTCCATGATTATATGATAATTTGCTGCGACCCATCAAAAGCTAGCCATTTGCAGCCGGCAGCCAGAAACAGACCCACAGGCCCTGCAATACCCTAAACCCTGAATAAAGCTCAAGTTTTAATCCTCACTCACAAGCCCAAACCCCTGCCCCAAGCAACGGACTCTGACTCCCTGAATCCCATGAAAAGCCATCGTCTCGCTCTATGGAAGGTGATGAAGCAGCCGGCGGCCTCTGATGGATTTGTTGACTCGCGTAGGTTTTTTGTTGCCACATTCTGGGGCTTAGGGGATTTTTGGTTTTGCAGCTGAGTGTAGGGCTTTAATGCTTTACGGGTTTTCTGCTTCAGTGCTTTTGGGCTTTGGGGTTTCGGCGTTTAGTTGTGAATTTCAGTACTGGAGGGATCAGGTTGTAGTGTTTGGGAGGCGGCGGGCCAGGTTTTGGGCCTTTAGGCTTAGAGTTCCGGGCTTTGGGGGGGGGGGCACTCTGAGCTGTCAGAGGATTTCCAGTCGGTCTAAGGATTCAATTAAACCCAAACCCTAAACCCTAAACCCTTAATTACCACCGGTCCTCCTCAGCCCCCAGAGCCCGAGTGCCAAATTCTTGTGCCCTTCGAGGCCTCGAGGCCTTGAGAAACCCCTTAGGATGCTTGCGGAACCCAATGAACTTCCCAAATCCCTGAGCAAGAGACTCCAATATCCCTTGATTAAGGAGTATTTCCTTAAATCATATTAGGGATCCTTCTATAATTTAAGGAATATTCCTTAATTAAGGGATATTGGAGTCTCCGGGGACCAGATCCCAAAGCATCAATCCAAAGCATCAAAGCCCGAACCCTTCATTCCCGGAAGCGACTGGCCGGATCATAGGACATACGGTTGATGATACGGGTGGTTGTCAAAATTACGGTCCCTTTTCGGGGTACCCTAAATATTAGGTGCCGCATTATATTAGGGACCCAAAAAGGAACCCCAATTTTGACAACCTCCCATATAAATCCTGGATTATGTCAATGACCCTAGACTACGGGCATTATGGCATATTCCTGACTATGGGTAGAGCAGGATCTATATCATCAACCGTAGCATATAGGGTTATGAACTAGGTAGCTCTTTCGTTAATCACTTGTCTTGTAGCCCCAGTAACCTTGCTTTCATTTCTAAGTCCCATGATCCACCATGTGCAAGGGAAGCGCTAAAGCCCAATCCTCAAACGACCCAAACCTTAATCCCTAAACCTTCAAACCCGCAGCCTCTATCAACCCTAAACCCTAAACACTAACCATAAACCCCAAACCCTACAAACCCTAATCTAGGTAGGGCTTTGGGACATTTTATATTTTCTCTTCTTGGGCTTAAGAGGATCTTACCTACTAATATTTTTCAAAGGCTTTAAAAGCCCCTCCTACGGTTGATGATATAAATCCTGCACTACCCATAATAAGGAATATACCATAAATCCCATAGTCTAGGGTCCTTAAGGTACTGCAGGATTTATATCATCAACCCTAGAGCCTAAACCCTATAGATCCCTTAAAGGAAGCCCTTAAAGGTATCCCTATAGGTCCCTTTAAAGGAACCCTAGGGATTTATATCATCAACAGTAGTAATCCCCAACCCTCGATCTCCCAAAACTCTTTATCAGCCCCGTTCAGCTCCGAATTGGAATCCACGTGCCGAGGTCGAGTGACACCCGGCCGAGCTCTTCTCAGGCATATTTGGGAGTTTCCGAAGATAGGCGACCCACATGGGTGGTTGTCGAAATTATGGTCCCTTGTTGGGTACCCTACATATTAGGTGCCATACTATATTAGGGACCCCAAAACGGACCATGATTTTGACAACCACCCAAATATAGTACCCTAAATAGAAGATCCTTTCCATAAGGATCCCAAAACAGGTACCCCTAATTTTCGGAGCCTCCCATTTCTGTCCTCCTTAGGGTTCAGTTCAGGTTCCGAGTGTCGGGCTTTGCAGTTTCAGGTCGGGCTTTGGAGCTTTCAGGTCTAGGTGGTGTTCGGGTTCAGTGGTTTTCGGGATGTTAGCTTCCAGGGCACATGGGGCTTCGGGTTGTAGGCCCTAAACCCTATACCCTAAACCCGAAACCGTCGGTTTTCTTCGTGGATGTTTTGGTACATCGACTCCTGCATCTTCGGGGCTCTTTCTGGCGGGGATGTGGCCAGTGTGCAGTTTTAGGCGATAGGTTCTAGGGTTATACTTGCTACCATCACCCACTTTCTGTAGGTTCTGATTATGCACCTTAATATGGAATTAATAGGGGCGCTACAAAACATGTAGAAACAGGTAGGTTAAGGCAGATTCAGGGCATGAAGTGTGGGACTACCTAAAGCTTTCCGGCTTGCATGGTAGCGGTCTCAGCTCCATCATCCATCATGGCTGCTCTACTATTTCTTGATATTTCAGAGGTCCTCTTCGAACAGGTCTTCTGTTGAATGAAAACTTTCTGGGCCTTAAACGTGACCCTGTAAGCGACGTGAAGATTTCACAATTCTCAGGTTTAGGGTTTAATTAGGGCTGAAAGGGTTTAGGGTGCAGGTGTAGGTTATGAGGGTTCAATTAGGCTCAGGGCTCTAGTTGCAGAAGACGGAGAAGCTTCCCCTACACGCAGGGCAGCCGGCGTGGCAGCATAGCAGGAGGACGATCTAAACCCAGACCCTAAACCCTTCTTGGTCTGCGCTATCCGGGCATGCTAGAGCTGGATTTTTGGATCCCTTATGTCGCCTTCCTTGAAGTATCAGGAGCTGAGTAAGCATTGTCAGAAGCAGGCCGATGAGTACCTAATACACGTACGGGCTTCATTAAATCACACAAGTTGTATGCACTTAGCCCCCTGATCCTTCCCGCTTGCGCTCACAAATCCTAGATACTAAACCCCAAGTCATCCTCACAAACTTAGACTCAACATCTGTCTGTGTGTGTTTTTTGCGCTTCTCGGGAATCTCAGTATAGATTGTCATTGCTGCGTCACCCCCATGCATGGGGCCATCGTGACCATTTTGTAAGATGATGAACTCGCCGTGAAGTACACAGGTTACCGAAAGATGGCATCACGAAGCTCCAAGCCTTGTCGATTCCCAGGGCTATAAGCCCCACACCCAAACCCGCTCAAGCCAACTGACCCATCACCTCCGAGTTGCGGCCCCTTGTCTAGAGAACCGGATCAGCAGAAATGGCACGACTAGCAACAACAACCCCAGCTTGCTCAATGCACCACGCCACCTGGTGTCGACTATCCCCTTGCCTTTGTGCTGACACGGATGGTACATCATTTCTTTATCCATGGAGTAATGCCATCATGGTTGACGATGTTGGAGTACCTTGAACACCAATAGACAAGGAGCTCCCACCGGCCCTAAAGCTCTGGACCCTAAAGCCTCAAACCCTAAGACCCTAGAGCCCTTAAACCCTACAGCCCTTCAAGCCGCTACAACCAAGCCCTCAACCCCTTGCAAGCAATTGGCGCTCGCGCTACCAGCGAGCTCTGGCGCGGGCCGACGCTCGGAGATGGCGAGGCTACAGCGGAGCAGCTGGCTCAGAGACATGCCAATGCTATGTCCAAGCTTGCGAAAAGAGTCGATGGGGACCTTCGCGCCAAACAGGCCCTCAAGGACGCCCTGGCTGCATGGACTGTATCACTGGGCTCTCACCTGGAACAACTGGTGCAGAGAGTCCGCGCGCTCAGTGCCAAGCTGGACGAGGACCTTGCGCGAGCTTGTGGCGAGCTGGAGGTTCAGGAGCGGAGCACTCCTTCTCTGGCTACCGACGAGAAGATCCAGGCGGCACGAGGCTCGTTGGGACCCATGTGGACCCATCTACAAGAGGCTGTCGTCCCTCCGCCTGGCTGCGGCTTTGAGGGCCTTTAGCAATGTACCAGACGAGGGCCGACAGCTGGCGGGATCGACAGCTCTTAAACCCAAAGCCCCTAAACCCCACACCCATACCTTAAATCCCTTAAGCCCTTAAGCCCTAAAGCCCTAGACCCTAAACCGAATTAAACCGTAAAGCCCTAAACCTCTAAACCCTGAAGTCCTAACGCCCTAAACGCTAAGCCCTCAAGCCCTAAAGCCCTAAACCCATAGACCATGAAGCCCTAAAGCCTCAAACGCTACAGCAACTGCCCCCAAGGCTCCAAGTACTCCTCATTATTGGTTTTTGATGCCTTTTTGGGTGCCAAAACCCAGAAATAAACCCTTAACCCGAAACGGCCCTGAACCCTAAACTAAACCTCCTCAATTAAGGAATGTTCCTTAAGTCATACTAGGGATCCTACGGTATATTTCCTAATTAAGGGATATTGGGGTACCCCCCAAACCCTAAACCCCTAACCCTACATCCCAGAGCCCTCAACCCCCTAAACCCTAAACCCCCTAAGCCCTAAACCCCCTGAACCCGAAACTGCCTTATCCCTAAACGCTAAACCTTAGGGACCCCTTAAAAAGGGACCCTTAAAAGAGGGCACCAATCTCTTCACTTCAGGAGCCGCGCCAGGCGCTGGGCCGGCACCAAGGCCGAGAAGGCGCCTTTTTTTGAGGGCGCTTTAAGGGCTTATAGGGGCGTTTGGGGTTTATAGGGTGTTGAGGGCGCTTTAAGGGTTTTTGGTGGTTTTGGGGTTTTTAAGGGTTTAAAGGGTGTATAGGGTTTGTAGGGTTTATCTATAATAGGTATTTAGGGTTTAGGGTTTATAGGGTTTATCTAAAGGTATTTAGGGTTTATAGGGGCTTATTGGGTTTATAGGATTTATCTATAGGTATTTTAGGTTTACACGGTTTATAGGGTTTAAGTTTAAGGGCTTGCAGGGTTTATCTATAGGTATTTAGGGTTTATAGGGTTAAGGGCAATTTTAAGTCAGTGCTTAGGATTTAGAGCCCTTGATCGTGGGCATTTAAGGTATATTAGAGGCTGTAGTTCAGGGTTTAGGATTTAGAGGTTCGGGGTCTCTGGGCTCAGGGTTCATAGGGTTTGGGGGTTTAGGAGTTTAGGATTTGGGGGTTTAGTTCAGGGCTGTAGGGGTTCCTTTCAAGGGATCTATAAGGGTTCTATAAAGGGTTAAGGGCTCTTTATCTCAGGGTTTGGGGTTTAGGAGTTTGGGGTTAAGGGTTTAGGAGTTTAGGAGTTTCGGGCTTAGGGTCTAGAGGTTCGGGGGTTTCGGTTTAGGAGTTTAGCATTTAGGGTTTAGGGGTTTGGGGGGTTTGGGTTTAGGAGTTTAGGATTTAGGGGTTCGGGGGTTTTGGGTTTCACAGTTGAGGGTTTCGGGTTACCCCTTAATCTTTGTCATAGTCGGGGAACCTTTTACATTTTAATGGGTACTTGAACCCTCTAAGGAATTAAAGTATAGATTTTTGATACTATCCCGACCATGAACTAGTAATAGTGGGCATGTATAGTATATTAGAAGGTATTTGGTGGGGCTATTCAGGGTTTAGGGCTTACGGCCGTTAGGGGGAGGGGGAGTTTAGGGTTTAGATTTCAGGAGTTTAGGGCCCAGGGGTTTAGTTAGGGTTTAGGGCTTAGGCGTTTAGGTTTTAGGGGTTCAGGGTTGAGGCTTTAGGGTTTAGGGTTTAGTTGTTAGGGCTTAAGTTTAAAGTTCCAAGAACCAAAACGCGCCGAACATACATCGCATACACGCAGGGTCCTATTGCCACCGGATTTTGATGTCCAGGTTAGCATGTCACCAAGTTTTTGCAGGGGCTTCAAGCGGGCTGATGCGATTTGCATGGATTTTCTCGGGCTTTGGTTCTGGGGTTGGAGGTTTCAGGGTGTGGGTCTTCTATGGGGCTGCTTCAACCTATGGGTGCCTCATGTCGTAGCTACGAAAGGTTTGAGAATGACACCGTTTACAGCGTAGGGCTGTATGCGGGGTTGTAGTTCATGGGTTCTAACTGTACAAGACTTTTCGTTTAACGGTGGTTCCTTTGTCCTTGGCCGCCTGCAGACATTAGACGTCAGCCACTTTTTGAGAAAAGTTAACTTGAGCCTAGGTTATACTGTTGATGATATAAATCCTGCACTTCCCATATGAAGGAATATACCATTAATCCCATAGTCTAGGGTCCTTAAGGTAGTGCAGGATTTATATCATCAACCGTACTTCTCAGACGCCCCCAAACCCTGGACCCAAGAGCCAGCTTTTTGTCGGGGCCCTTTATGAAAGTGCGAAGCCTGCAGGCCTTTGTCCCCAAAACTTCGACACCCAGGTAGTCTTAAAGGCGTGCTTAGGCTTCGAATTATAATTAAGGGGGGGGTTTTGTTGGTATTTGTGGTGTTTCTTCAGAGTCTGTTTGGTGATGTTTTGTTTGCTGCTTTCGCTTTTCAGATGTTCAAGGCCTTGTGGTTTCGAGGTTCTGCATCATCTATTGCGCACTGAAATCATATCACATGGTTGCCCTGGGAGTTTCGAGTTGAACGTTTTGGGGCATGTACTGTAGGGTTTTGGGTTACCTAGTTGCTCCATGGCCACAATACTGGTCATCCAGTGCAGGCTATAGTAGAATATCGAACGAAACAGATTTGCTTGCATACCGCACGTCTTGTCTGGTCAATATAGCTGGTGAGTGTAGATGTTGGTTGTTGGAGGGATCCTTGTAGCCTTTGGAGGGATCCTTGTAGCCTACTATAATCCCAGTCCTAGCCCCCAAACCACTAAACCGACTTCTAAACCAGGACATCGGTGCCCGAGCCGGGGGTGATGGCGATGGATCCACCCAGGCCTGGCAAAAATCCTTGTATGCACTGTCTGAGTTTATGGCGATCGGCATATTATAAGGGCCTCAGTTTGTTCTGTGCAGCAGTGTTGACATTCTAGTCTACACTAGCTCGTTTTTCGCTGCTGGGACACCGCACTAATTAAAAGGTGGCTGCTGAACACCTACGCAGCAAACCCGAAGCCGCAATCCTATTGCCGGAGTGTGCGACACAGTAACTCGGGTGCCAATTGAGTAGGGGAGTGGCCTTACCCGACCCCCCGAGAACGCCCTGCAGAACCGGGTATAGGAGACCCCTATATTATGACAATTACTACTATTATTACTATTATTATTATTATTACTGTACATATTGCTATTATTGTTATCATTATTATTACTGTTATTACTATGTTTATTATTAACATTATTATTATTACTATTCTTACTTATTCTTATTACTACTATTAGTACTATTACTATTATTCCTATTATTACTATTATTACGATTATTATTTTCACTATTATTATAACTATTATTATTATTATTACTATTATTATTATTATCTTTATTATTACTACTATTATTATTACTACTACTACTACTACTACTACTACTACTACTACTACTACTACTACTACTACTACTATTACTCTTATTATTACTATTATTGTTATTATTATTGTTATTATTATTACTACTATTATTATTACGATTATTATTGTTATTACTATTACTATTATTACTCTTATTACTATTATTACAGTACGTGCGCAAGCGGAGCCCTACCTGTAGTCTCCATTGTAGGTCCCGGCTCTGATTGACCAACATTATTCAGAGGATCGTGAGGCTTAGGTTCCTTTAAAGGGCTCCTTAAAGGGATCTATAGGGTTCCTTAAAGGGATCTATGGGGTTTAGGGTTTAGGGTCTACTTAGAGGATCATGGGACTTAGTAAGTAGGTTATAATTGGGGTTATAAGTCCCCTAAGTGGGGTTATCCTAATTATATCCTACTTATAAAACCTTACTAAGTCCCATGAGCCTTCAAGTATGCTTCGGATTTACGACAGAGCACAGCAGGTCAGTCAGTCAGGCCTGCCACCCTCAGGTTTTCTGATTTGGGTTTGTAGTGACCTGGTTTTAGGGTTTACGATCCATAACGGTTGAGTCTGTTTGTGGGTGGGCCTACCCTGACAGTCCAAGTATTCAGATGAGATGTACTTTGGCCCGAAAGTCGTCCCTTTATAGTTACGCTGGGGTCAGACTATGTACTACTTTGGTACACGGACACTCATACAGGGTTAGGGTTGTGTATATAAAGGTTTTGTGACGTTGGAATGCTTTTCAGGTTCTGAGCCCTCACCCCCAAACCCCAATCTCAACTGCGAAAAGAACGGAGAGGCAATATCCCTGATAAGCAAGCAAAACCGCTTGGTTCCTTCAAGCTTTCCTTGGAAGGGCCCCTTTCAGAGATCTATCAGGGTATTGTAATTGCTGATGGTGTAAATATACAACTCACGTAGGTTTTCCTACCTTGTTTTTAGGAGTATTTCTTGACTACAGGCTGTTGAGTGTATTGGGCTCGTGCAATTAACGCAGTGCCAAACCCCACCTTTAACACCTGAGTGTTAAACCTCATAGCCCCTGACACTGCAACCTTAACCCCTTGCCCACGGCGGCGTACACGAGTCCAGAACCCTAAACTCCAAACCCGAAACCGTCATCCTTACAGCATTAACATCTAAGCCTTCGGAACACGGAGCGTTCCTTAATTGAGGGGTATGGGGCTTTTTAACTGGCTTAGTATTTGGTGCCTTTGGGGCCGGAGTACATACGATTTCAGAGCTCACCAGAATCTGCCTTGCAATGCCCAAGCTTGGGGCATACAGCCTCCGATTTTTGCTGAGGGGGGAACCCTTAACCCCAAGCTTTTCTTCCAGGGTTTTGGGGCTAGGAGCTCTTCTCTGTCGGAGCAATAGTAGGAGGAGCAGCAGGAACCGTAGCAGTTGCAGTTGCAGTAGAAGCAGCAGTAGTAGTAGTAGTAGTAGTAGTAGTAGTAGTAGTCGTAGCAGTAGCAGCAGCAGCAGCAGCAGCAGCAGCAGCATAGGATAGGGTGACTTGCTTTAAGTTCCCAGTTTGGGGTATAGGGCTCGTGCTTTGGAAAGATATAGACTAGTGTTAAGGGTTTTCAGGTTATGTTAAGTCTCAGGGTAGAGGATTAAGTGCTTGCAGCGTTCGGGTTTCGGGGTGTGAGTTTTATCGGATTGCCTTGGAGAGGACCCAGACCGGAGCCACCAACGAGTCAGAGGACACCGTGTCTCAAGTCACTCAAGGCGTAAGCGGCTATTCAGAATATTTGGGTCGAACTTCTACCTGTAGTATCCACTGTAGTTCCTTTTTGGGGTTACTTTACAGGATCCTAATTATATATTTGGTTAAGCCAAAGCAAGAACTACAATGGAGACTACAGGTAATAAGTATATTTCCGTTTGGCTACTTGGAGCCACAAGCGTTAATCATTTTGGAAGCCGAAGCTTGTCAACTTCCTTTCTATACCAACAGGGAGTCCCTTTAACAGATAAACGAACCCTAAACCCTAGACCCTAAACCATAACCCTAAACCCTAAACCCTAAAACCCTAAACCCTAAACCCCTGAGTGGCTACGGGTGCACACATCCGAAAGCGGCGAGACATGTGGTTCGCTATAAGCAGGATGATTGCAGCGTGTGTCATCAGCACACCACAGAATGCGCCTTACAGAGATCCGATCAGTGGTGCAACCGCGATGGTGGCAATGGCTTCAGCAATGCAGCGCAGAGGAGCGAGCCCGCAGAGCATGAGGTGCTACTTGCGAGTATGTGTAGGGTACTGGGCATCAATCTCAGTCAAAGAGGAACATCTCGAGAGAGACATCAAGAGGCTGAGTGATGCAAGTACGACATCGGAGATCTCGAGCAGCACTTCATCGAGCAACAAATCGCGGAAACGTGTGAGTCAGGAGAAAGAGAGTGCTCAAGAAATTCACAAAGTTCCGGTTTCCTATCTGGTGGCACCAGCTGCGATCAACGGTGGCGGAGTAGATCCGGACTACCTGACAGATTTGAAACCAGCTGAATGGGCGACGTGTCGCTCAGATGCGGCAATGAGCTCATGCTGGGCACACTGGCAGCACTTTCAGAAAGTGATGCGGATGCGAGAGAAAGAAGGACTTGACGCAAAACACACATGTGGCGCTTGCGGCGTAGCATGTTGGTTGCCAAGGGCGCCAAAGAGGCCACCGAGAGCACAACCAGGAAGTAAGTTGCACAAGGCGCTAGGTGAGAGCATGAGCTTGGATTACATGGAATGGGTAGACAAAGAGATCCCAGTCATGAAAGAGGTGAAGAGGACGACCAAGAGTAGGATCAAAGCGCCGATCAGCAGCACAAACTGGTCGGGAAATCTGCCAAACAGTGCTGCGAAAAAGTTGAATGGTTACAGCGCTCACACGGATCTGGTATGGGTCGTTGCGCTGAATAGCTGGTGCGCGGTTTGCGATGTACTGGCTGCAGCACACGAGTACGACCCAGCGAGTATGAAGATGATCTGCACGTGGAACGACATGCTGAAGCGTGACTGTATCGAGAAGATTGACAAGCATTTCGGCGTGTTGAAGAAATTCGAAAACCTAGCCGCACTTTGCGATGCTAGGCCAGGCAACAAAATGTTGCGCGATTTGGTGGCTGAAGTGCTGCCCGACTGGAATCTCAAGGAGATGCTGAATTCGGGCGAACGTCCTGTTTGCAAGAACCACAGCCAAGCAAAATGGCTCAAGCCTTTGTCACAGTTTGGTGATGAACTGGTACGTCAGGCTTAAAAAAGAAACCCCTAAACCCCTAAACCCTAAACCCCTAAACCCTAAACCCCTAAACCCTAAACCCTATAAACCCTTTTAGAGGTTCGGCCTGAACTTCACAAGGGGACTAGATCCGTCTAAAACCAGGTCCCCAACCCCAACCTCCGCGATCGAGTGAAGCTGTGGTGTAAAGTAGGGGCCCCCGGTTTAGGGTTTAGGGTTTAGGGGCCATAATAATTACAATACGGTTTGGGGGAAAAATATACTACAATCATAAAAAGGAACCCCCAAAACCCAAGTCTAGTTATTAAGACCCCTATGTTACAGCACTTTTCATAATTAAGCCCCCGTATGAGGGATGTCACCTGAGAAAGGATCGGGACTCGGCAGCGTGGCAAGGTTTAGGTCCTAAATTACGGTATTGGGGTTTAGCGCCTAAGCCCCAAACAATATCAATACAGGACATGGCGTACAAGGTCTTGCAAGATCTCCAGGCCCGGAGGGAAGGGAAAGGGGGCCTCTCCCGGTAACACTTGACTCCCAAACCGCTCACTCACGCACTACTCCGGAAGCCTTGGTAGTGATTGATATTTGGTGTAAGGTACTGTATGTTGCTTAATTCATGGCTTTTGGATTCTGGGGGCATCGGGAGTGTAGAACGTCATTTCCGACACACTTAGACTGAAGGCATGAGACCCTTTCAGAGCTCTTTGTGCTTCGGGGCTGCAGTCCCTTGGGTTTAGGGTTTAGGGGTTTAGGGTTCAGGGTTCAAGGTTTAGGGGTTTAGGGTTTAGAGGGGTATAAAGCAGACAGCGGTGTAACTGACGGACTGAACTCGCCGCTTTTTCTGCAGGTGAGGTTAGCGCAGATGCAGAGTCAAAGCCAATCTTTCGACCAGCTGGCATCTTTGGCTTGATCTAAGCCCTAACCCTAAACCCTCCTAAACCCTCCTAAGCCCTCCTAAACCCTCCTAAACCCTTCCAAAACCCTCCTAGACCATCCTAAACCCTCCTAAAACCTAAACCCTACGTCCCGAACAGGCGGCTTCTTTTGGCCGAGGGTTGCTTCGGGTACTTATTTTTTTCGCTCTTCGGCTTTCGGCCTCGGGTCGTTACGGGTTACGGCGCTTTTCCGCCTCGAAGCCCTGGTTGCACCAGAAGTGGGCTACATTTTACGGAAGTATAACGAAGTAATGAAGTATAGTATAATAGTGTAAGAAGTATAGTATAATGTAATTCAAGAGAAGTAATGAAGTGCAACGTAACAGAACGGATTCTAAAGTAAATGTCTTATCGTGTATGACTACTTGAGGGTATGGGGCTCGGAGTTTAGGGCCATGGCTTCCTCTACGGCAGATGAAGGTCCTCCCTAAACCCTAAATAAACCCTTAGCCTAAACCCCAAACCTTAAACCCTAAACCCCTAAAACTTCATTGAAGTTTTCGATGTAGAGACAAAGCAGGCTTCAAGGCTCGACGACAACCCTGGCATGGAGCTTTCCCTCGTACGGTTCGTGATATGAATCCTGCATTACCCAAAATAAGGAATATACCATAAATCCCAGAGTTTAGGGTCTTTCAGGTAATGCAGGTTTTATTTATATCATCAACAGCAGTAGCAGTAGGGTTTAGAGTTTAGGGTTCAGGGTAGTAGAGTAGGTAACCTTTAACCTTTCTTGGGTACGATCATCCCTCCAAAGTCGGACATGCCCCCGAAGGCTACCCCCTTATAGTTCCCCAGGATACTGGACAAGTAAGTTTCATGCTTAAAAAGGAAGCTGCACTCCCCATGAAGGAACCTTATGCACCTGAATAGACATTGTGGATGATATACATGGGCCATATCTTCGGGCCACGAGGGCTGATAGTATTATCAAATTTCGGACTCCGATGCTAGAATGAGAATCACGAAGAGGTCCCCCAAACTCGAAATCCGAAATGATTTCTATAGTCTCCATTGTAGTTCGTTTTGTTTTCGGTTCCAAGGCAAATCTACATATTAAGGTTCCCAGTTTATGGTTTAGGGTTCGGGCTCCGGGTTCAGTGTTTAGCGGTTTAGGTCAGAAAGCCAAGACAAAGCCAACGCACATGCAAACCTTGAATCCGAAACCCAAAACCTTGAACCCTAAGTCCAAGCTGACTTCCACGAAGGGCAGCTGGGGCTTTGGGTTCCCCAGTAGTACCCTTTTCCCCTTCTATTCGCTTCAGGGTTTAGAGTTCTAGGACCCAGAGTAGGCCCTTATTCCCTTTTTAAGGGTTCAGGTTCCCTTATAACTCCATTTTCACCAACAAGGGCACCCTTTTCATTCCTAGACTACTCTTAGGTCTAGAGTTCGGGGTTTGGGCTTAGGGTTCCCCTACTAAAACTGGATGCAAGGACCAGGGTCTCCTGCTTTCTACGGGGACACTGGGGAGCCTAGTATCCCTTAAGGCAACACTGAGCACATGCCGCGATCCATCCTCTGAAAGCCCATGTGTACATTTCAGAATATACTTTGCTCTCACATCACTTAGTAGCAGAGTAGGTAGCGTTTAACTTTTTTGGGTAGTATGCTCCGTGTATGACCCCAAAGGTTAACGTTTATTTTCATTTTATTACTGGACAACTATGATTACCCATATGGGAAGCCCTGCTAGATAGGAACATGGCCCCTGCACGGGCTAGCTGCTGTTGTTTCTTACTGTGTTGTGCCTATCCTTTTCCTTGTCTTTAGTTTGCCTGATGTTCGAGTTGTTATGTTATCTTTGGAAAAGAGTTTCGACTCCGAGCCGTGCACCGCAAAATCGAGTCCTAAGGCACGTGCAAATCCTAAATCGCGCGCCTGCTTGTTCATGAAAACTCTCTCTCTGCCAACTTTGGGATCTGAACGAACAGAATTTAGTAATTTTAATGATAATGATATTTCTGTTCACTTGGTCCCAGTATCAGTAACATATAATTGTAAACCCCCAATAATCTACTCATCTCTGTTTGATAACGCACGCACGGCGAGCGCCTGAACCTGAAGCCGTGAATAGGAAAGCCCTCCATTCACCCAAACCCTAAAGGTACGAATCGAAGCTTCAGAATATGAGGGACCATAATGTAAAGCCCCAGTGCAATACAGTCGGATCCTTCGAATGAAGGATTGGACAAGGAACCCAACATCTTCAGAACACCCGACAATCCCAACCTAAACCCTGAAAGCCCTAAAACCCCTTAAACGAGCCTTAAATGGGTAGCTGTCAAAATTGGGGCCCCTTTTTGGGTGCCCTAAATATTAGGTGCCGTACTACAATCGCGACCCAAAAAGGACCCTAATTTTGACAACACCCCAAATCTCAAAGAGCCGAGGCACAACACGCACACCAGGGGCCGGCCACAGTCCTGGACTGGGTTGTCCTTTGCGATCTTCTTGGATTTCACCTACTATGTTGTAGAGAACCACAATAGTAAATCATTTTTCGAAGGGCTTAAAGGACAACTCACTGGAGGATTTATGACTTTGGGTTTTGGGTTTCGAGGTTATAGGGGTTTAGGGTTGTAATACGTGTTGCAGTCTTTCCGTTTAGGGTTTTCGGATTTTGGGGTTCTGGGTTTTGGGGTTCACGGTTCAGGGGTTTACAGTCTTAGGGTCGAGGGCAATTTCAGCTTTTCAACATTTGGTTCTCCGAAGTGGGGCTTCCTCAGCAGTCTCTGTAAGTGGTTCCACACGGGTGTTACAGAAAGAACCTGCCCTGGATGAAGCCTTGTAGACTTTGGTTTGGGTTTTGGTCGAGAGTCGGCTGCTGTACATGAGGGTTTTAGGGTTGAGGTTTCTTAGTAGGAGCGCCGAGACCCAGCATTGTAGCACGAGTGGTATCTTCAAGAGGCACAGCTTTCATCCCGCTGCGCACAGCGAAGAAGGGCAAATGTACCACAGCCAGACACAGACACAACGCATTCGATTCCACCTGCACCATGTGCACCACTCCCAAGCTAACCTTTGTCCTTTCTGGGGTGTGATAACGCCTAAGTATATGATCCCAAAGGTTAACCTTGAGTAAGCCTAGGATACTGGACAACTAGGTGTAGGTTCTAGGGGGGACCAGAACGATGAGCCGCCTGGGCTGTTCCCGAGATACCGCCGGCATGCATCCTGGCTCTTGCACCTGAAGGCATACGTGTTGAAGCAGGTACATCATGTATTAGAACATGGGGAATACGAATACAGTAATGCAGAAGGAACGGTAGCGACGCGGTGCACGGGGCCCTCAAAGCTCTGCCCTCAACTCCACACACTAGCACTTGCACCTGGAATCTCCCAAGTCACAGCCCCCAAGAAGATTTGCCACCCTGAACAACGACAGCACCATGTCTACGGCTTGTTGAAACAGTTGCAGCCCATGAATTGAGGGGTGACCTTGCCGCCCCCCGGCACGTCAAAGCCTGTCAGAAAGCTCGCTTAGTTCCGTCGTATAGCCACGGAGTTCAATAATTCCGGAAGCTTTCAACAACCGCTGACCCCTACAGAACCCCTAACCCCTAGACTTCTACAGCTTAGCTCGCTCAGGGTCTCGCGCTTAGCGCTCAAAATGCAAGCAGCGAATCCAGTGCAGGGGTCTCAGCCGTTTTGCAGGGTTCAGGGCTTCGGACTGAGAGGGTTTACGGCAGTTTAGGGTTTAGGGTTTAGGTTTGGGGTTTAGGGTTTATAAGTTTAGAGTTTACGGTTTATAGTCAAAGGGGAAAAGGAGGGACCCTTAATGGGGACCCATACCCTATAATGGGCTATATAATGGGTATATAAGAGCTATAGTAAGGGTATATACCTAGGGGTCCTTATTAAGGGTCCCTCCTTTTACCCTTGGATATATATATATATATATATATATATATATATACATATATATATATACATACATATACATATATATACATACATATATATATATATATATATATATATATATATGCTTTTGGTTTGGTATAGTCTAGGGTTTAGGACATATAGCATCGTTTGGGGACACTCTAAGGGCGCCCCAACTGTCCTGCATTGACAACAAGGTGTCCACAAGAAAAGCATGTTGAACAGTGTGTAAAAATCACCTTAACCCTAAGAAATTTCTAATGCTAGAGCAGCTACCAGAAAGCCGATTCGAATTATTGTGGGCCCTACATTAGGCTGTGTGGTGTGGGCATGCAGCAGGTCGAGAGGTCGCAGGTTGGCAGAAACACGTTTGGGATCGCGGGTGAGAGGCTTCGGCATACTACTTTGGATTGATGAGGCTTACGGCTTCAAGGATTGGGTTTGGAGATCCCTAAACCCTAGCCCCCCAAAGCCTGCGCCAACAATCATATATACTGTTCCTTCAGGTTCCCGCATGTAACGCTAGTAAACACACTGTTGAAATCCCAGTCTGATCATGGAGTCATCTATACGTTTATAGTCAACCCTAGCAGGCACAATACAAGCTGTACGTTACAGACTTTAAATGGTGACTCTTGTTTGTCGTGTAGAACCAGGGCTCTACACCCGAAACCCGGGATCCCAGTGAGCAGTGGGCCATGTATCC